ACATCTATAAGCCAAATTTGCCAAACACTAAAAACCAACTTATCAACTTATTGCTTTTTGATACCGTTATAAGCTAATCCAAACACTTTTTACAAAACTCCAGTTTGATACCACATAAGTTAATAAGCACTTTTACAAAAAAAAGCATAAGTTGTTTTAAATAAGGAATCCCAAACACCCCCTAAACCTCGATGTTATGCCAATGGAATTTCTAGCTCATTGAATGCCTGCCTTCATCACCTACAATACAAAAATCAGACAGACAATGGCTTCGTTAACCTGCACCAAGTTTACACTGCTCGCCGCAGCTGCAATTCTACTTCAGATCACCGGTCTCTCGCTCTTCGTCTTTGGATTCTTCCCCATTAGACCAGCTCTCTCTGGTGTCAGGTACAAATTCATTTTCAAGAGTTTCAAATAAAGAATTTACAGTTTGATTGATTTAAGTTCTGAAATAGTGGACCAGAGAGTTTCCGGCCTCCCTCAGCCTCATGTGATTCATTTGAGGATCAAAATTTCACAGCTCTGCATCCTGACCAACTCAAATCATTATACCAGGTAACTTTAGCCACTCATAGAATGTCAAATATTGTTATACTTGCTATTTGCCACACTAACATCAGCTTTCAAGTGTGTACCCTTTGTTTAGGTTGAATGGGCGATATATCTTAATATACTGTACGTTAACATATATGGGTATTGGGTCCCTCATAGCCACCATATCAGAATTTCCATTTGGGATTTTCCATATTAATTACAATATTTTGGTTCTCCAGTGGGTTTACTGATCAAGAGGTGAGCATCCTCGCAAAATAAATGGAAGGTCTTAGTTCGTTTCAAGACACCACCCATGTGTCCTTGGATACTCAATTTAATTCATGATGGCTATGGGACCGGTTAGGTGGGCCCCTTCAACAAGTGACGTTCCAATTTTGCAGAATACAATGTTTTGGTTATCTACCCTCATCACATCTGCAAATTATTGATGATACACGTTACGTATATTTTCTTTGCATATAGCTTTAGTATTGTTGCAGTTTCAAAAGGAAGGGGGGAGTAATTTTTATCTGGTCATGAAATCCAGGGGCAACATTGTTAAGTTTAAGTTAGACATGACAGTTATGTTACTTATCATATGACAGTTATGTTAGTTATCCTAGAATGGTTGTCGGTTGGTTCAAAGGGTACAACCCTTGACTAACTATTTATATATTTGTAATCATTTGTATCCGTTGAATAATTTACTGTGAATGAAAAAAAAGTGTTGTGATTAGTTTACCTTTGTCGAAGTCCCCAACATTGTGGTATCAGAGCACAGAAGATGGCCTCAATTTCGAACATTGTTTTACATCCACAACTTCCCAAATTGAATGGGAAGAATTATCATCACTGGAGTATACAAATGAGGGTCCTATTCGAATCACAAGAGTTGTGGGATATCGTAGAGCAAGACTTTGATGAACCAAAAGATATAAAAGAACTCTCGCAAGAACAGGAAGATGATTTAAGGGATTTAAGAAAGAAAGACAAGAAGACTCTCTACACCATATATCTGACTGTGGACGAGATCATCTTTGAGAGAATATCCTCCACGTTTTCTTCTAAAGATGCATGGGATACACTGTACATAATCTATCATGGGGAAGACAAGGTAAAGGTTGTGAGACTGCAAACTCTTAGGTGTGAATTTGATAGTCTCAAAATGAAAGATGCAGAGACGATAGAGGAGTTCTATAATAGGGTAATCCTATTATTAATCCAACTTAGATTGAATGGCGAAGTCATAGAAGATAGGAGGGTAATTGAGAAAATTCTTAGAAGTTTAACCAGAAAATTTGAATATGTTGTGGTGGCAATTGAAGAATCCAAAGACCTTCCAACATTATCTCTTGAAAGTTTACTTGGAACAATCCAGTCTCGTGAACTAAGGATGAGACAATTCGATACCACCCCATATGAACAAGCCTTTCAATTACAATCTTCAAGCAATCAAGACAGAAACAGAACCTATGGAGGGATTGACAAAGAGATTTCAAGGGGAAGTACAAAAACAGGCAAGATAATCCAGTGCAGTGTTTTCATTGTCAGAAATTTGGCCATATAGCCAAGTTTTGCAGAAAAAGAATAGCAGAAGAGAGGGATATTAACTTTATTAATGTGGAAGAAGAAGGTGAAGCCATATTCATGATACTTAGTACTCAGGAGACTCCTGTTAACAACAATTGGTATGTTGACAGTGGATGCAGTAACCACATGTCAGGAAACAAAGATATTTTTGTTCATATAGATGAAACTCAAAAAAGAGAAGTGAGGACAGGTGATGACAGAAAATTAAACGTATATGGAATAGGAGACATCCTGGTGGATACAAATAATGGGCAGAAGAAAATAACAAGTGTGTACTATGTACCAGGATTGAAGCATAACCTGCTTAGTATAGGACAACTTCTACAGAAAGGTTTTGACTTACACTTTAAAGATGGAGCATGTGAATGGAAGGATCATAATGGAAAGCCCATGGGAAGAATAAACATGACAGGAAACATAATGTTTCCTTTAAATTTTACAGAAGATACTTTGTTCTCCTTCAATTTGTCTACAAAAGATCACTCTATGCTATGGCATCACAGGTTTGGTCACACAAACCTTGGATATCTGAGTTATATGCAGAGACACAATCTAGTAAAAAGAATGCCAAGTTTGAACAAAGTTGAGGACGTATGTGAAGGTTGCATATGGGAAAACAAAGAAGGGAATCATTCCCTCAAGAAGGAGCATGGAGAGCAACAAAGCCTTTGGACTTAATTCACACAGATGTCTGTTGACCAATGAAGACACTATCTATTGGTGGAAACAGGTACTTACTTACCTTTATAGATGATTTTAGCAAAAAACTGTAGGTATACTTCTTAAAGGAGAAATCAGAGGTCTTTGAAATCTTCAAAACCTTTAAGGCCTATGTTGAAAAGCAGAGTGGTCATATGATTAAAACCCTTAGATCAGATGGTGGAGGAGAATACAACTCCACTCACTTCCTCAATTTTCTGAAAGAAAATGGGATCCATCATCAGATGACCATTAGGTACACACCTCAGCAAAATAGTGTGGCAAAAAGGTTAAATAGAACCATTATTGAGAAAGCAAGAAGTATGCTTAAGAGCAAACATTTAGACAACTCCTTTTGGGCGGAGGCAGTGGCCTGTGCATGCTACTTGATGAATAGAACCACTACAAAAGGCCTTTCTAACATGACACTGCAAGAAGCTTGGACTGGATTTAAGCCTACTGTGGGTCATCTTAGAATTTTTGGATGTTTAGCATACTCACATATCCCTGAACAGAAGAGAAGCAAGTTAGATGAGAAATCTGAAAAACCATATTCATTGGTTATAGTAATAAGTCTAAGGCTTACAAGTTATACAACCCTAGTACTAAGAAGATCATAGTAAGTAGGGATGTTGTATTTGAAGAGGGAAAAGAATGGAATGACTCATCAAGTCATGAAAATGGTAAGTTATACAACCTACAGATTACACCAGTAGATGAAGGGCAGAAAGATGTTCAACAGAATCAAGGTGATCAGGATCCTAACATCCATTTAAACTCTCCTACAACACCTACAACTCCTCAAACCTCTGGAAGTTCAAACTCTCAAATAGATACCAGTGAGAGTCCACCAAGGAGGGGGTATAGAAGCCTTGTGGATATATATGGTGACCCAAGAAGCTTAGATTTCAATGAAAATGCAGATTTTGTCCTTTTTTCTGATGCTGATCAAGTATCATTTGAAGAAGCTTGGCATGATAAGAAGTGGAGGGATGCTATGGATACTGAAATAGAGGCCATTACAAGGAATGACACCTGGGAACTAGTAAATCTTCCAAGTGGCTGTAAGTCAATTGGAGTTAAGTGGGTATACAAGATTAAACTTAATGAAAAAGGTGAGATTGACAAATTCAAAGAAAGATTAGTAGTAAAGGGCTACAAGCAGAAACATGGAATAGACTACCAACAGATGGAAGGCCTAAATCCAGTCCAATGGATGTAATCAGGATGGAGACAGTAAGATTATTGGCTTTGGCAGCACACAACAGATGGAAGGTACATCAAATGGATGTAAAATCAGCCTTCCTCAATGGCTTCTTGGAAGACCGATGTATATATAGACCAGCCTGAAGGATATATAAAGAAAGGCGAGGAACACAAAGTATGTCACTTGAAAAAGGCCCTATACGGATTGAAGCAAGCCCCAAGGGCTTGGTACAACAGAATTGAGAATTACTTCTTGACACATGGTTTCACAAAATGCCCTCAAGAACACACTCTCTTCACTCAAAAACAACAAGATATGATTCTGATGGTTTGCATATATGTTGATGATCTGGTATTTACTGGAAACTCATATGAATTGATAGAAAAATTTAAAGAAAGTATGAAGAAGGAGTTTGATATGACAGATATGGGTTTCCTCCATTATTTCCTGGGAATTGAAGTAAGACCGAATGATGATGGGATTAGAATTCTCCAACAAAGATATGCTCAGAATTTAGTAAACAAGTTCAATATAGGAAAGTCAAACCTGCTATTACTCTATGGACTTTGGAATCAAACTTTCAAAAGATAGCAGGGAAGAAAGTGTGGATAGTAGTCTGTTTAGAAGCTTAGTTGGCAGCATCATGTACTTGACTGCCACAAGACCTGATTTGGTATTTTCAGTGTGCATCTTAAGCAGGTTTATGGAATTCCCTAAGGTAAGTCACTGGGAAGCTAGAAAGAGGATCCTAAGATATGTGAATGGGACTCTAAACCATGGAATCTTTTATTCAAATACAAGTGATTTCAAACTCACAGGTTTTAGTGATAGTGATTATGGAGGCAATCTTGATGATGGAAGAAGCACATGAGGCTATATCTTCAATTTGGGATCTGGAGCTGTCTCTTGGTAATCAAAGAAACAAGATGTAGTAGCTCTATCTTCTGCTGAGGCAGAGTACATGTCTCTCTCTGTTGCTGGCTGTCAAGCAATCTGGTTAAGGGGCATCTTACATGAACTGGAACACATTCAGTTTGGACCTACTACCATATTCTGTGACAATAAATCTGCCATTGCTCTGTCTAAGAATCCAGTGTTCTACGGCAAGAGTAAACACATCAGAATTAAATTTCATTTTATCACGGAATTGGTGTCAAATGGGGAGATCGATTTTCTGTGGGACTAAAGACCAACTTGCAGACTGCTTTACCAAGGCTCTCCAATTTGGGAATTTCAACAATATGACGCAGAGATTGAAGGTTCATACATGTCTAATTTAAGGGGGTATGTTAAGTTTAGGTTAGACATGACAGTTATGTTAGTTATCATATGACAGTTATGTTAGTTATCCTAGAATGGTTGTGTCGGTTGGTTCAAAGGGTACAACCCTTGACTAACTATTTATATATTTGTAATCATTTGTATCCGTTGAATAATTTACTGTGAATAAAAAAAAGTGCTGTGATTAGTTTACCTTTGTCAAAGTCTCCAACAAACATTAGATCTTGACTCTACACTTGGTTGTTGCTTTACCATGATTGGATGGGTTTATGTAGTTTGGAATGGGACTAATCTTCAAATTCAAAATTATTTCATCTTGTATAATAGTCGACAAAAATTGCTAATTACATATCATCGTACAAACATCATGAAAGGTGTAAAAATGTACAACAGTTCATCTTATTTGTGTATTTTGGATGTTCTAGGTTTGACAATGAAAAGTTAAAGCTCAGCAACTTGTTTCTAATGATCAAACAATAACTGCAAGGTTCTTATTTCAAACTAGATGGGTTAGACATGACATGCAAACAATCCAAAACTAAAAAAGAGACAATTAACAAAGTAATGCATCTCCCCTTTCTTTTCTTTTTCTACTGGAGGAAGTAAAGCTTTTCTTATTTGGAGATGCTCCTTTGAAACAGGTGTCACACAATCTGGTCTAAATTTTCACCAATATACGTTCTTTCTTCATTTTGTGGGCTTTATCAATGTCCTATTTGGTCCTTCCATAATTATTCCCTTCGTTCTTGTATTTAAACTGGTTTGAACAACTTATTGCTTAACTGGAGCATTGCTTGGCATTTAACTGAGTGAACTTCCATAATGCAGGAACTTTCTTCAATCACACCTTCTTATGACCGATTGATACTAATGGTATGGAGCTATGCAATATAATTTGCAATAATTGAACTTGCATAATCTCAGGGAAAGCACTTCTAGTCCCTTGCTCATCTAGAGAGAATAAATTCATTATGCCAATACAATTATGTGATGTTTAGGTTATTGATGGTCTTCCAGCAGAATTTGTTCTTGGAAGAGATGGCCAGCCTCCATCAACAGTTTTAAAGGATGCGATGCCATATACTCAGTCTTTGTTGGCCAATAGAATGGCATTGGGTTACCATGCTAAGGCTGCACCTCCAACCGTTACACTGCCACGCTTGAAGGTACCAAAGTTAATTTTGTTCTGGAATTTTAATTTTATTTCCCTCATCTGTTGACCATATACAACAGGCCATGACTACTGGGTCGATTGGGGGATTCTTGGATGTTTTGTTTAATTTCAACACTCAAGCTCTTCTGGAAGACAATATTATAGGTGAGTTGGAAAAAATCTGATGGATTTAGCTATCATATTTAAGTTGCTCTTCTGGAGTTGACCAGCCTGGTGTATTACTTACCGCGTAATTTGTTGCAGGTCAATTTTTCAGAATAGGCTGGAAAATGGTTATGCTTGGTGATGAAACGTGGCTCAAGTTGTTTCCAGGATTATTTACAAGGCATGATGGAGTTAGTAGTTTTTTTGTAAGTCTTCTGCACTTGCTCTTTTACTCAAAGTTCTTTCTGCTCAAGCATTTCATCAAGTAACCTTAAACAGAAACCTCATCTATTTTATTTGTATTGTACTATCACATCACATCAGATAGTCTTAAGTAAACACACAACCCAAAATAGAAGAACTTCTACAATTCTTCTTCATACAAGAGTGTTTAAATCAATATAACTTTTTAGTATTAGACTTAAAAAACCAACCTAAACCAAACAAAACCACATCAAAGGAAACCATCCTAGTAAATCCCATGCAAAGGTAGGATCTGGGATTATTTTTAATTAGTCTTCCTTTTTCTTATAAATTATTTGCATCTGATTCAAACTGTTTACATGTGTTCTTCGATGTCTCAACTTATCATTGATTTGAACCAGTATTAAATATTATTGATTTGGACCAGTATTAAATATTATTGATTTGAACGAGTACTTCAATCCGTGCTTCACAAGGACAGAGTAAAAAAGAAAAAGAAACTGGAAAAAATCTCTTGGAAGTACATCAAAATAACATAGAAGAACTGGTAAACATAGAGATGTGTCGTTTGCCTACATTTTTTGTTGCTTTGTTTCGTTGGGTGTCTACATGCACAAAGGTAGAAACAGACACACGGATAAGAATTGGAGCTTATGGGAATGCACTCTCAAATGAATTTGGAGCTTTGAATCTTTGCACGATAATTGATAAATGTCATCTTGACATCTTTGTAGATCATCCAGTTGAGAACCATTTATTCAGGAAAAAGGAGTATGCTACTCTGTGGTGTAATCATGTTTGTCGAATTAATATAAGTTTATGGAGAAACGTAATGTAAATAATGTTGGTGTAATTCTATTATTCAGGAGAAAGCTTATGTTAATAATCCACTTTGACAATGGAGAAATGTCATCTTGGCATATTTTTTAGTCACCCACTTTGAGACATTTTTATTGAGGAAAAAGGAGTATGCCACTATATGGTGTAATCATGTAAATTTATTTAGAATACTGTCCGTCAAACTTCTTAAGTTCCATACTCATGTCACTCAGAGCTAGTATAACATGTCACATGTGATATGAGTCATATCTCATTTCCTATTACTCCAAAAGCGAATCTAAACTCATGCTGCTTCATGATAGACATCCTCAACCTCATTTATTTTTCTCAACCTATACATTGGAGCAGTATTTTCTAGCCTAGTTGCAGTTTTAAGCTTATGATGGATTCCCTTCCTACGTCTTAATTGATTTTTTAACATTGGATCACTATTCTTTTGTAACATAAAAAATTACTTGATTTCCAATATCCTCAAGCATGTTTAACATGAGGTTTGAACCAAAGGGTTTCAATTAAGAATAATCATAGAGTAGATGATAATAGTAGACTTTTAGTGGTTTCAATCAAGAATAATCGTAGGGAGATGTCCAAGATGAGTTTACTTTTAGAATGTAAATCTGTGTGTTAATTGGCCATATATTGATCCTTTACCCTTTTTGTTTGTTGTGCTATTTAGTTGCCTAGATTCCCAAGAACTTTTGAATTTTGATTACACTTCATAAAATTTTAAAAATCTCTGCAATTTTTCTTGACATAGGTTAAAGACACTGTGCAAGTGGATCATAATGTTTCTCGGCATCTGAGTTATGAACTTTACAAAAGTGACTGGAATCTTCTGGTAATATACGTCAAATTTTGATGATACTCTGAGGGATTCTATGTAGTTTTTATCCATGATTACTGTGTTAGAGTTGTTGTGGTAGTGATTATTCTTTAGCAACTTAATATTTACAACCTTTTGTCTTTTTTGTCACTTTCCAACCTTTGTTCAAATTATGGCACCCATTATTATTCTGATGGAGACAATTGCAGTTCTCTAGTGTTTCTATTTTAGAGATGAGAAATGGACTTTCTGCCTATTTGTTATGTTTGAACTCATATTTTAAATGCTTATCTCAGATCAAGTTCTCTGCATCCTTGTTTGGCCTATGAGTTTTCTAATACAATTATGAGCTTATTAAGCTTGCGTAGAAATGGGAAGTAAGTTGCAGAGAAGGGAGAAACAATGCTGTATATTTTTGTCTATAATCTTCTACTGAGATACAACCCTAATTATCTCACTTTTATTGATTTGGCTATTTTCCAAATCGGTTTGATGATCAATTACTAATCACAAAAGTTAGGAACTAATCAAGGAAACTAAATATGATAATATCTTTGGTATTCTCAACACTCCCCCTCAAGCTGGTTTGTAGATATCTTCTATTGCTAGCCTGGCAGTCAATTTATCAAACTGCTTCTTTGGTAATGCGTTAGCAAGCATATACACAACCTATTCTGCAGTGGGAATGTTTGGCATGCATGTCAATTCCTTCTTAATCTTTTATCTGATGAATTGTCTTTTGATCACCATATGTTTTGTTTTGTCATAAGAATTGGGTTGTGAAACTAAAATTGTTGTCTTGTTGTCACAGTTATAACTTCATAGGTGAAGGGTTTTAACCTCTTAAATGGAAGTGCTTGTCACATTCCATTTGCATCTGGTTATAACGTTGCTTCAGCATTGCCTCTAGCCACAACACCTTGTTTCTTGCTCTGCAACATCACTGTTTTGCCTCCAATAAATATGCAATAACCAGAAATTGATCTTCTGTTTATTTCAGCCCTTTCCCAGTCAATATCAGTGTAAAATTCAACTTGTAGGTTCCCTTCCTTCTTTCTTTGTACAATAGTCCTATACTAGGTGTCTTCTTTAGATACCTCATACCCAAAATTCTATACACAACCTCAAAGTGTTCTTGTCTAGTTGAATGCATGAACTGTATTACAGTACCAACTGCACACTTTGTTATCAAAGTTTCCTTCAAGACTAGGTGGTAGATTCACTTAAACCAAACCAAAACAAATGTGCCCGGTATATCCACCGTGTAAGACGTATGTAGACCTAATGTCTACCCTAAAGAGTAGAGCGACTGTTTCCATGAAGGCCAATCAAACCTTGAATTTATTGATTTTATTGTATATTTAAAAGACAKAATACGTGCCCTATATATAGGACAGATAATTACACTTTAATACCCTAAGCAGTTACACTTTAATACCCTCAACAATAAGGTTATTTAACTTAGTCTAACATTCCCCCGCAAGTTGAGGGCGGGGAACRACCTGCAACTTGGACCGTAGARACTCAAATCTTTGTGAAGACAAGGGCTTTGTAAAAACATCAGCAATCTGGTCATCAGTGGAGATAAACTTGACATTCAATTTTCCTTGAGCAACTTGTTCACGAACAAAGTGATAATCKACTTCAACGTGCTTTGTGCGGGCATGAAAGACTGGATTTGCAGAAAGATAAGTTGCGCCAAGATTATCACACCAAAGTGTGGGTGCCTTGCAAATCAAACCGAGTTCATGAAGAAGGGACTTTAACCAAATCAGTTATGCTACAGTGTCAGCAATAGCCTTGTATTCAGACTCAGTTGAAGATCGAGAGACAGTTCGTTGTTTGCGAGCAGACCATGAAATAAGGTTTGAACCCAAATAGATAGCATATCCCTCCGTGGATCGACGATCGATAGGGCAGCCTGCCCAGTCGGAGTCTGAGAAGGCTCTAAGATTAGTGTCCAAGTGAGTCTGAAAAGGCTTGAAGTCGAGACCCCGTGTTGTAACGAAACAATAGACCGAGGTTGATCGTGCCCTTTAGATAACGCAGGATTCGTTTGACACCAACCCAATGATTTTCAGTCGGAGCATGCATGAACTGACACACCTTGTTAACTGCGAAGGCAATATCTGGACGAGATAAAGTGACATACTGGAGGTCCCCGACTGTCTGCCGAAACCGAGAGGGATCATCAAGTAAGGGATTGTCATCGAGTAAGAGTACTTGAGAGGTACTCATAGGAGATGAAATAGGTTTGCAATCCGCAAGACCAGCTCGGTGAAGAATATCAAGAATATATTTTCGTTGAGACAAAAGTAAATCAGAACCATGGTGTACCACTTCAATGCCCAAGAAATAATGTAGTTGGCCCAGATCTTTAAGAGCAAATGGAGAGTTGAGACGATCAATGATAGTAGTTACGGTAGCTGGGTTGTTACCGGTGATGATAATGTCATCGACATATACAAGAAGATAAACGAGCGTGTCATCAGAGTTGAGAATGAAGAGAGAAGGGTCAGTTTTAGACCCACAAAACCCCAGCTATTGAAGAGCAGTAGACAATTTTGTGAACCAGGCACGAGGAGCTTGTTTGAGCCCATATAACGACTTGTTCAGTAAGCATACATGATCTGGCCTGTTAGGATCATCAAAACCAGGAGGTTGGCGCATGTAAACAGTCTCTTGAAGATCACCATGTAAAAATGCAGTCTGGATATCTAACTGACGTAGAGACCATTTATTTGTGACTGCCAGTGATAACACGGTTCTGATAGTAGCAGGTTTGATTACTGGCCTGAAAGTCTCGTGATAGTCAATTCCATGTTGTTGATGGAAGCCCTTGACAACAAGCCGGGCCTTGTACCTGCTAATCTTTCCATTCGCATCTGTTTTCAACCTGTAAACCCATTTACAGTCAACCACGTTAGTATTAGGAACAGGGGGAACTAATGTCCACGTGCCATTTCGATGAAGCGCAGTCAACTCTTCAGCCATTGCTTGGCGCCATTCTAGGGACTTGTTGGCAACGGTAAAGGAGGTAGGTTCAATAGGTAAGGTAGGGGTAGTGGTGGCAGTGTAGGCAGCGTATTGGGTGGTGGGTTTAGGGTTGGGACGAAGGTTAGGAGGCCGAGGCCGAGGGGCTGGAGGTGAGGGTGGGGGAGGGATTCGGGTCTGGTGAGGACTCGGGGTTAGGGGTTTGGGAGGGTGAGGTTGGTGGGGTTGTATCGAGTTGTGGAGATGGTACGGAAGGTGGTGGTGGGGTTGTTTCGGGTTGTGGAGGTGGTACGGTAGGTGGTGGTGGGGTTGTTTCGGGTTGTGGAGGTGGTACGGAAGGTGGTGATGGTGGTGAGTTGGGTTCGGTTGGAAAACTGGGTGGTGGGGTAGGGAAAATAGATATGTATGGAGAGTCGGGTTGGGATGGAGAGTGGGTAGAAGTAGGTGGTTGATAGGGAAAAACATGCTCATTGAAACGAACATGTCTGGCTATGTATATCCGTTCAGTGGAAGGATCAAGGCACCGGTAACCATGGTGAATAGGACTGTAGCCAAGGAAGACACAGAGTGGAGCGAAAATCAATCTTGTGATGGTTATACGGACGAAGATAGGGAAAACATTGACATCCAAAAACTCAAAGAAAGGAGTAATCAGGTTTGCGTTTGAAAATGTGTTCATAGGGAGATTTGTTGGAGGAGACACGAGAGGGGAGTCGATTTATTAAGTATACGGCGGTTTGAAAAGCAAAATGCCAGAAGCGTTGAGGAAGACTGGATTGGGCTAGGAGTGTGAGTCCAGTTTCGACAACATGACGATGACGACGTTCTACAATGCCATTTTGTTCGCTTGTATGGGGACAAGAACGACAATGAATTATGCCAAGGTTGTGGCAGAAGGTAGTTAGAGGTCAAAACTCTCCCCCCCAATCGGACTGAATACACTTTAACTTGGTGTTAAATTGGCGTTCAACCATTTTAATAAAGTTTGTTAAGACTGTATAAACATCAGATTTCTGAATTAAAGGGTAAAACCACATATATCTAGAGTGATGATCAACACATAACAAAAAGAAACGATGACCATCGAAGGATGGTGTATGCGAATGGCCCCAAACATCACAATAAACAAGATCCAAAAAATTATTGCAATGAAAATTTGAATCGGATAAAGATAGTTTTGAGGATTTTCCTAGTTGACAAGCAGAACACAAGTTATTTGATAATTTGTCCGAAACAGGTAAAGAACAATGAGAAATAATTGAACGAAAAMCTTGAGCATGAGGATGACCCAAGCGTTGATGCCAAATGTTCGAGGAGGCTTTGACAGCAGTAAATGCAACTTTAGGTAAAGACTTGAGTGTAGGAAGAYGGATGGAGTACAGTCCTTGTTCACTGGGGCCCGTTAGGAGGATAGTGCGTGTAGACTCGTCSTTYACAACAAAATAAGATGAGYGAAATTCAAWGAAAACATGATTATCGACACAAAATTTTTGAACGGATAAAAGGTTTTGTTTTAGTTCAGGGACATGAAGTATATTGGATAATTTAAAGGTTTTGTTAGGGGAGTAAAGTTTTGAGGAGCCAATGTGAAAGATGGGTATAGAGTTACCGTTACCAACAAGTAAAGAATCGTTACCAAAGTAGGCCTCAGAGTTGTCAAGGCTAGATAGATCTGGAGTGGCATGGTGATTTGCGCCAGTGTCGGGCTTCCAAGTAGATCCTGATTGCGAACCAGCATCGGAGTAAGTAGCATAGTTGGCTTGTGGCGCTGCACAGGATTGGTTAGGCTGGTTAGGACACTGAGAGGGTAGGTGACCAATTCCACAACGATTACAATGACCATACACCATGTTTTGAGTAGAAGCGCAAGAGAATTGACGTGTGCCATTACTATCAGGATTACGAGAGTTGAAAGCAGGTCGTAAGTTACCACGTGAAGATCCACGAGAACCGGGATCCAAAATAAGCCTGTGGTCGTGATGAAGTTGCAGGGTTCAGTTGATATCCCCATTGGGAAGCCATGAGTTGAAGATTATGAAGTTGTTGTTGAATGGAGTCGAAATTGGGCTGCTGTAGTGGTGTAGAGGTAGCCGTAAGAGGCTGCTGAGCAGGAGAGGTAGTCGCAAAGAGAGCCTGGGGAACTTGCGGATTTGTTGCCAAGATCCTTGTAATCATATAATCATGGTCACTTAATAAACCATGCAATTCATTGAAGTTGACAGGAGGGGAGCGAGCCAAGAGGTTTGCTTTGAGACCATTGTATTCTTCAYGAAGCCCTGCTAGGGTTAGCATAACCAGATCTTTGTCTTTCATTGGTTCGCCTATATTGGCTAGAGCAGTTGCATATTCTTGTGCTCTACTGAGGTATTCGGCAGGTTTTTCATCACCCTTCATGGTGATTCKAAGTAATTGATTTTTAAGAGTAAATTCATGGGATGAAGTAACCGGAGCATACGCTCGTTCTAAAGACAGCCATATCTCTCGAGATGTTTTGCCCTGAATATGTTGAAAGGACTCTTCTGACACAGTAGAGATGATGAGCATACGGATGTGAGCGTCGTTGGAGACCCATGGTTGGTAGCTTGGATTGTCAGTTGTAGCAGATCCGTTTGTAACCTTCG